CCTCTCCTTCTCCCCGAGTGACAGGGAATCCAGCCCTCAGGACGGGGGATGAGTTTCAGAGGACTCAACTCTGGCTTTTCTTCTCTGTCTCCTTGCCAGGCTCCTACGCTCCACTTGACTACAATTGCACAACTCCTCTTCTTGGGGTTATCCGTGGTTTTATCCCAGGCCATCCTGTGACTCACGACCTGTGGTGTTTGTGTGTCCAACTGCCCCCCTCTCCAAATTTCCAGATCCTTGTCTACCAACCACCGTCCATCTCCACCTAAATGTTTTATATCTGAGACCTGAACTTGTGATCTGCTCTGTGTAAATCTGGAGTCCTTTGGCATCACTCCTGACTTGTCCTCCCTTCTTCCCCAGCCCTTTCTCTTCCTCCCAGCTGCCCATGCCAGTCTCCCTTAACCGCCATCAATCTGCTCAGACCACTGTGACAGCTGCCCAGCCAGTCTTCCCTTGCACCCTCCCGGGGCCAATCTGTTTCCACCCTGAGGCACGTGTTCAGAGTGCAAAACCTACCAGACCTCCTCAAATCTTTTTGCCATTCTTCTGCCCCAGTCTGGAGTGCCTCCCAGTGGCCCTGGCCTGCCCTCGGCCATTCTCCCCCACTGTCCAGCCACTCTGCATTGCAGCCCCCTCACCCACCACAGGGCTTCACAGTGCTTCTCCTCCTTCAGTCACCTAGTGACCTCCACTCCATCTTCCTGCCTCAGCTTTGCTGTCTCCTCCTCATTTTCCTGACCTTCCAGTCCTGTATTATAAGACTGACACACCAAAAATACCTTCTTTTGAACACTTACTTTCGTTTTCAAGTTTGTATTCATGAATCAAAAAGCTCTCCTCAGAAGAGCCCCAGTCCTGGGAGAGAAGGGATGGGTGTGTCTGATTTTGTTCAGTGAGTTTGTCCAGTGCCCAGCACAGTGCCTGGTACACAGAGGATGTTAAAAATAGTGAAGGAGTGAGGAGTGAGTGAGTGAATGAGTGAACGAGTGAGTGGACAAATGGAGTGAGTTTCTAAGGCTCTGACAAGCAATGACCACAGTTAATGGTATATGCCCACGTTCGTTACTCCCGTGCAGGTGAAGTCAGGTGCAGGTGTGACCAGAGGTCACACTTGATCTACATGGTGCCAGGGCCCTCAGCTGTTTCTGCAGGGTGGGATACAGGGAGCCTCTGCCTGGCCCTGGCCTGGTCCTGCCTGGCCTGCAACACAGGTGAGCATGTATTTGAAAACATGCCCCAAGCCGATTCTCCAAGAACAAGCATTCACTTTGAGAATTCCAGTGCAAATTGATATTTAGGAAAGGAAAATATTTACCAACTCCTCAAGGACCCATTCCCACAATGACCCACTCCGTTTTAAGCCACTATTCAGAAAAATTAAAATCTCCTTCTTCACACCGTCCATCTCCACCTGCTTTAAGTGTGAGAAGCTGAAAGGACAATGGAAGTCATTTTTCTCAAAGCATAGAAGGTCCAAAGGTGAATGGTATCTCCATCTTAAAAAATAAATCCAAGCATTCCTGGGTGCTCTGTTTATAAGCTAAAATAAAAACTCATTTCCAGTGAACATTGTCATACAAAGCAATTAATACTCTACAGATCACAGTTGTTATTCCTCTGTGTGTAAAGCACAGCTTTCCTGCATTGTTTTACTTATTTATAGACTTGTTCCAGGAATAATTTAACGACATACAAAACATAGCAAACTAACAGAAATTATAAACAAATTAAAAATTCAAAGGAGAAGTAAGGGTAGGCTGATTCTTAAATGCCTTTGTGAGGCCAGGCAAACGCTGCTGGCCATTTACCCAGTGGTCACTCTGCTCCTCCTACAGGACCTTGATTTTGTTCCAATACAAGGTCCTGTGTCCTAGAGGATGAAGGGAGTCACAGACCCCTGACTGGACAGTTCTTGTCGGAAAGGAATGTCCTTATTGTCTGAGACTTTCAGTGAGCTCTCTCACTTAGGGTAATTTCTAATCTGGCTTTCAATTAGTCAACACCAAAACAGTTGTTTAGTAAAAAACACTCAGTGATCCCCCCCACCTCGGGAAATCACAGTATGGCAAAAACTGAGACCAAACAGTACCAGGGTCTGTGGGGATCCATGCATTCATTTGTCTGATGTTTTAAAAATCCCCACAATGAAAACAGCGATGTTACAAATTCCATGATCAGCGATCCTAGCCAAACTGGCTTCCTGTTTTGACATAATTCATCATTCACCTTGAAGTTTCATTCTCTATGTGTTCCTTAACTTATCACATTATTCTTGAGCCAAAGGAAAGAGCATCAAATAAATTAATGTGGACAATGAGTCAGAAAAGTCATTCCTTAGAAACTGACCTTTGTTTTCCACATTCAAAGCCTAAGTCTGTGAATTGGCTCAGTTGGGTGGGCAGGAAAAATGTCTAGATGGTTTCCGTGTGCACCTCTTAGAAAGAATGCGTGTCCGCCCTGTGTATATCTTCAGAAAATTTAACAGAACAGAGAAAAACCACATTCTTAATAAAACTGTTTTCCTCTTAGATACTAATGAGAAGAGATTTTATTTTCATGTATAATCATATTTTCCGTCTCAGCGTATGTTTATAAATGTTATTTATACCTAGTTGATAAAAAAAAAAAAAAAGCAACAAACACAGCACTGACAGAAAGAATGTCTCCTCCTGCCTGCTGGCCTTGGCTGCTGGAAACCCCACGTCAACCACCATGACTGCCAGCCTGCCCAGGGCAGCCCCACTGCAAGCCTGAGGAAGCCCACTTCCTGCTGTCATGACAAGAGGGACGTGCTCATCTGAGCAGGTGAAATGCCTCCTGGGTGAGGAATGAGGCCATGGCAGGAAGTATTGAGAAGGCTGGAGCTCTTGCCATGGCTAATCTGATCATGTATTACCAATGACTTCATCCCCAGATGGAAGCCAGCCGCCTGCTCCCAGGTCCCTGCAGAGATCATACCAAGACAAGACTGATTTGGAAACAGCACGCAGAGGAGAGACTTTGGTTCTCTTTTTAATGAAACGAAGGAACCAGTCAGCGTAAGTGACTACAGAGGCAGCGCCACGCAGATCCTGCATAAGGACTATGGTTCTGCACAACGCTAATGACAACTGCAGTGGGGAACAGGAAAAGAAAAGGCTGTTAGAAGTGTTTTTCAGTGGGATCATGAAAGAGTAACACACACAACAAAAGGCCTTCTCCTGCACTGGGTCTTTGCATCCCAGCCATTCTGACACTGCAGACTCATTCCCAGTTCTCACTTAGAAAAAGGGAATGTCCCCATGCCAGTTGATGGTGGCATCTTTCCACTTGGTTCTGATTGCCATTTCCACTGGGGTACACCGTCTCCCTGGTCCACGTTTATCCTCATGGCGGTCCCTTTCCCAGTGATGGGAGTGAGTATCTGAGGAGGAACAGCAGCACTGACACCTAAGTCTGGTACCAAGTTCCCAAGGAAACCAGCACACAGGGGAAGAGGGCAGGTGGGCAGGAGCTGGGCCCAGCAAGCTGTGGTCCTAGAACCAGCAAGTAGAGGGAGATTTGCAGATGGCATTTTGAAACACCCCAGGAAAAATAAGTTAGTGTTCCCCTAGCTTGCTGTGTCCTGGGAGGTAGATATTGATGTCATTTAATGCACCTTCCAGCACCATGGTGTGACACGTGTGACTGGGCACATAGGACGCCGTCAGGAAAGACAGACGAAGGGAAAGCTCAGCACTTCTCAAAGCTTGAGGGGTTTTGAGTGGAGTCTGTAGTATGCTAGTGGGAGAATCAGAACTGGGTTCAAGACCTAGGCTTGTCTCCTTGAACCAGGGGACCTCTGAGAAGGAGCTTAACATCACTGATTCAGTTCGCAGTTGCTGGGTGAGAACCTCACTTTCCTCTGTGAGATGAGATGTCATAGTCCTGTGTACCTCACAGGACTAGTGAGAGTTTAGTGGGTTGGTGTATGAAAGGTTTTCAGCACAGAACCTGGAACAGAGTGTGTGGCAGGCTTGTGAGCTGATAAGAAAAAATGTTATGCTTTCTTCAAAGAAGAAAGTCAAAGTAGAAACGAGATTTTTGGGAACATATTTGTCAATGCTACCCTAAATTAAATGTTCTAATATGTTTGTCTTAATTAAAGAAAAAGAATTAGAAGTCGCACAGATAGAACAGTCACTGAGATACTTTTCCTAATGTACTGATAAGGAGGGGAGCTACTGAATGCTCAGCTTTGATGTGAAATGCAAAGAGTCAGACGCCAACCAGGCTCCATAAATGGAGCCACGCCACTGGATACAGACTCTCCGTCTGTCCATTTTTAATGCTTTCAAAGTGGCCAGCCTTCAAAGACGTGTTAAGGGTAGTCCTTCTTTCCTCATGAATTTGGAAACTGTCGTTGTCATTGAGATGGAAAGGCCCGGTGATGGTCTGCTCCTTCCATTGGACCCCTAAAGTTTTGCTGACACTCTGCCCTAGTCATCTGAGACCCTGGACTTCCTAGTGTCCAGCTCAGCATCTAGCACATAGTAGGCCTCGAAAATGCTCTTTGAACTAATTTGAACAGAAATACACTCTCAGTTTGGTTCTTTATGTCCCTGCATGATCACCTGGTGCTTGGTGGTGGGATAGAATTGGCCAGGGAGAGTCTAGCTATTGCCCAGTGGGGCTCTCTTTCTCCTCTTTGTTTTCGCCTGTCTTTCTTGGGACCTTGACTACCTCTTGCTTTGGATGGAGAATGCTTTTTGGAAATCTGACTCTTCACCCTTTGTTATTTCTCTTCCCTAAAAGTTGTTTGTTTCTCTGTGTTATTTCTATCTCCTCTGCTTCTTTTTAAAGCAGGCTTAGAATTCCCACTTGACAATGCCTGGGTTTAGTCCCATGGGCTTCATTTTTGCAACAGAGCCTAAGCATTTTCTGCAGAAACAGCATGAATATCCATAGGCCCGTGAACCACAGCCAGGCCTCTGAGTGCACTAAAGCACACACCCTTGGAATCTGCAATGCTCACCTACTGTAAGACACACAGGCTTTTTCTGCGAGGGCTGGCCACTGTAAAAGTGCAGATCAAAGAGACGCTCCACTTTCCAGTCTGACGAGAGCTGTCTGTTTGTGCAAAAGAGGACGCTGTAATTTCCACTGGTGTTGCACAGCCAAATGGGGTATCTGGGGGTCTTCAGCATGCTGCCTGCCTGGAAGGGAAGGGGTACAGGTGAATGCGAGGACATTGCACACTGAGGCAGAGTGGACCAATGCCCTGATGAGAATGCTTCGTGGCGGCGTCAGGATGCATGGCTGTAAGATCCGAGGCCAAGGCTTCCTCCTGGGTGAGTCTGTGTTGATGCATGGTGTGTACAGTAGTGATGCTGTGGTCTTTCTTATTGGCGTCTATATTAAAAGAATAAAACACTTGGTGGCCTCATGGAAGGGGTGGAGAATTCTCAGTTTGGTTTTAAGGAGAGGTAAAGAGTAAATAAACTGAAATGTCAGTATAGCAATAAGAGAATGCTCACTGGGTCATTGACTACCGCATTTTAGCTCATTCCCCAGATAGGGCAATGTTTCATATGGCAGGTGGTCAGACTTCTGGCAGCACTATAGTAAAGAGATAGTTCAAATATAGAAAAAAGCTCTGGAAAATGAGGGATTTTCCACACCAACACAGGTATCTGCAGGTCAACATGGAGACTGGTAGAGTGTACTGGCTCAACATGGCAGCACAATACTGTTTACGTCAACCAGCTCGCTAGCTGGTTTTATTTTCCAGGCAACTATTGATTCAGCCTTGAGTTCTCATAGCCAGTGAATAGACTCACAAGGTCACCACTCTGGAGGACAAAGCACAGTGGTTCAGCACACAGCATGCAGAAAATTTCCATAAATAGTACCTATCATTTTATTCTAAAAAGCAGGGAAGTACATATTTATTTTAAATAAATTACATCAAAATTCTTTAAAACGGCTTTTTGGAAAGTGTTAAGAACAATTTTTTTTTGGCCAGATGTGGCAGGTGGAGCACACCTCTAATCTCAGTGCCCAGGAGGCTGAGGCAGGAGGATTGGAGTTCGAGGCCAGCCTATATAGAGAGACCTATCTCAAAAAATAAAACAACAAAAAAACTAAACAAAACAAAACAGGAACATATTTTTCTGCTTAAAGAGATACACACAACCTACAGAGAAAACCCCCACGATTCCCCTATGGTATAGAGGAAAGCTGGCTCTCAGGCCTTTTCTTTCTTCCTTCCTTCCATGAAAGGACCCAACACTGTCATCTCATTTCTTCTCAGTTCTCAGAGTTGTATTGTTCAATAACAAATTCTGTTTTATGGAAAACTCAGCTTTGAAAAATTATCACATTTTGTAACCCAAGTCTTAAAGGCAAATGACTTGACATTTTGACTCTCAATATTCATTCCTCTTCATCTTCTTCTGTTCAAATTCTTCAGTTGTGGACAAATTAGAGCTGTGTCTCGTCTTTAGCTCCCATAGAAAAATTATATTACTGTGACGAAATGACTTGGGCTTTAGTTGGTAGTGCCACAGAGAAGGCACATGTAGCAGCCCAGCCAGGAGTGGCCACACTGGGTGTTCATTAGCCCTTCTAGGCTGGGGATAAGACAGCACCTCACAAGTCACAGCGGGGCAAATCTGCCCCCTTTGAAATGAAACGGGATGTATTTAAGTTAAAGATCCCCATTCCCAAGTTCCAACTAAGATTGTGAACATTCGTAAGTTACAAAGTGAGCGCTTTCTTCCCCAGGCTCTCTTGGGATGGCACCTCTCACTGTACTAAGATTATATGTACCCAAAATACACTATGCAGACATGCAGTTTGTAAGCCTTGGCTGAACTCATCATGAGTGTGAGGGCTGTTTGTAATAAAATGTCATTCCACTTGGACTTGAGATCAATGAAAGCCCTGGTAGATCATATCTGACTGGAAATAGATTATTCCTGTATAAAATATTGTCTCACAGAGTATCTGTAAAGCAGGCAAAATCTACCTGGCACTCAGATGCGTTCTCTCTGCCAGGTGCTGACTCCACACTGTTGGTACTTTCTGTGACAGCTGACTTTCCCGAATGCAAAGCTACTCAAGGTTTTGTTCCAATAGGAGGAAAATGAAGGACGCAAAAATACAACCACCTCCGACCCCTACAGCCACCAGACATGTCTCACGCTGAGCAGGCAGAGTGGCTCCTGCCTCAAGAGACTTCGGGGCAGAGAGGTGTCACGCGTGACTGTGTGGCACGTTGGATATTAGCTCTAAGACAGGAGCTGTAAGAATACGTCCAGAACACACTTGGTTTGAAACCAGTCCTGGGAAACTAAGGCAAAGCTCTTCAGATCGAATTCCGTCAGATAACACCCCCCACCGCACACATTTCCTGGCACACCACATAGCAGTTTGATGGAATTTTCCATTTTAAGCCTTTGTGTTGCTTTCATAGAGACGCAGTTTACCAGCTTCCTTCCAAAAGCAGAATTCTAAATATGTCTCATTGGTGAGGTGCCACCAATTCTGAGTTTGCACATGTTGCCATGGTAAGAAGGAAATTAGATTTCGATACAGTGTTGCTATAAATAAGATCCCTTTCTCCTTAGGTTCACTTTGTGCAATCAACCCTGTCTGTTCAGTTTTGCATGCAGCAAGCACGCCTTCCATCCTTTCATCTGGTGTGAAACTGTAAGGACAGAAAGACGGATGGACCGATTCTGCACACCAGGGGCAAGCATGGAGCCCGCCTGGAACTGTGCTTGGGCATGCCTTGTGTCATGAGTGGATATTGCAAGTCTCAGGTCCCTGGCTGGTAATCTGGACCCAGAAGGGTGTTGGAGACACTGAGATTTCTTCGCTGAGTCTTGGCGACAGTTCCCATGCAGCACTGTTAATGACCTGGTTCTCCTCCCTGCCACCTGGAACACAGGCACCGAAACTTCTCTCGCAGGTAAGTCGTAAAGACAAAGTTGATGACGCTGGCTTGTAGGCTGTGACCTCAGTCATAGCGCAGCAGAGAGAGGCCGGGCCACTTCGTTTAAGTGTGGATTTCTTCTGATCACACTCTCCAAAGAGTCTGTTCTCAGTGGCAGCTGTGAAGATTATGTGACCTTCCCGAGGCTTTCCAGATGGTGTTAGACTCAAACCGCATTGTGTTCTCACTTAGGTGTTGGACCCTCGAACTCAAGCCCGTACCTCCAAATCAAAGAGTAACGGGGGTCCACAGCAGTGAGGGTAGCTGGCTGTATCCTGCAGGGTTGGCCAGGTCGGTGGGCTTGAGGGGCTCCCCACATCAGCTAGGGAGAACTCCATCGTGGTTGTTTCTTTCTTTTTTAAAATCTCACCCACTGGGCTGTGACATTGGGACTGAAAGATGTGTGTCTTTGCAATCGCTGCAATTTTGTCACAGAGTAAGAAAGTAAGACATAAGGGTGACAGGAGCGTGGCAGGCTAGGTTTCTCCTCGCATAGAATCTAGCTGTCAGGCAGCAGGTAGGTTTCCTTTTGCATGCAGAAACTTTCTTTTCTTTTTGGACAGGGTCTTGCTATGTAGCCCAGGCTGGCTGAACTTGATCATTACGGAGCCCATGCTGGGCTTGAATTTGTGATCTTCCTGCCTCACCCTCCCGGAGTGCTGGCCAACGTCCATGAGTCCTGTAGGGAATCACCACGCCTTTGAGCAGAAAGGAAGGGGAGTGGCCGTAGAGGGTCCCCAGCCCCATGGTTCTGAAACACAACCTATTCTTTCTCAAGCAAATATGAAGGCGTTTCATTTCTACCTAAGGTACTGTGAAAACAGACCTCTAGGTCCACGCAGTCAGATCGGCGAGGAATTCTGGCACACCCCGACGGACATGATCTGTACCCACGATCCTACCATTCACAGCCAGCGCAAACTCACAACTGCTTGAACTTGACAGACATCGATCGAGCCTATTGAGCCTATCAGCATGCATTCCAAAACCTCGCCAGCCAGGCACCGGTGGCTCACGCCTGTAGTCCTAGCTTCTCAGGAGGCAGAGGTCAGGAGGATCAAGGTTCAAAGCCAGCTGCGTGAATAGTTCGCAAAGCCCTATCTCGAAAAAACCCATCACACACACACACAAATGGGGGCTGGTGGAGTGGCTCAAGGTGCAGGCCCTGAGTTTAAATCCCCGTACCGCAAAATAAATAAATAAAATAAAACTTAGTCATGACCTGTCACCACCTAAATGTGAGAGTCCACCATCAATACACCTACAAAAAGACACTCTAGATTATATAAGACAGACCTACATCTGTAAGCAATTATGAAGATGCTGATGATAGATTTATGGGCTTATAATGTATTAGAAAGATGATTCTGACTGGCAGCACGGCAGAGGACAGACTAAGCTTCGAGTGTAGACAGAATTGGGAACACAACCTTGGCTCTGGCCCTTCCCTAGCCTGTGGCTTTGAGCATCTTTCTACACTGCTCTCTGTCTGGCCTTTCTCATCTCTGAAATGAATGGCAAAGCACCAGACTGGATATAAAGTAAGAGTGATAAAAAATAAGTAAGTAAATAAAGTATCAGTGATTACGACTTTGAGAGGAGGTGAGGACCGGGTGGAATAAGCTGTCATTGCAGGTGACTAATAGAAAGTCCAGCACAGTAGGTGCCCAGCACACCGGCTGTTGGCACTACAACAAATAAAAATAAACAAACGAAGTGTATACTTTGGTTACCATCTGCAGGGATGTGAGAAGCACACACGTTGTATGAGAACAAAATTATTTCAATACCTATGAGTTAAGGACTGCTTTTATCCCTAGATACTGAGCTGCTTTGGAAGGAATAAAAACTGCTTTCAGGTAAAGTCAACTTTATGTGTTTAACATATTCATATACCTCAGGAGTTTAAGAAAACTGTCTGTCTATAGTTGTTCTTTCATATATTTTTTTCTGAAACCAATTCCAAGTGCAGGACAGAGACACCAGACTCTGAATACCCTCAGGGTTTCAAGCCATTAGTGTACAATTGCAGGCACTTTTCACGGAGGGCACAATTCACAGGCGTTCTGGGGCGAGAACACGGTGTCCAGATAAGAAAGATGAAAAGCCACATTAGTCACTCTCCCCAAAGTGGGACGCAGTGTAGATTTTCCTTCTGTGCAGATTTTCAAGCTACCCCAGGCATTTTCTATCCGCTGCCCCACTTCCAGTGGGTGATGAAGCCTTTAGAGGTGGTCCTGTGGTCTGCTGCCTCGCGCCCTTCTGGTCAGGAAAGCTCTTACGTGTTATCTTGTGCTGTGGCCTCTTGGCTGGCTTTAAGTTCCCAACAAGCATTTCTTTATTATTGGAGGATAGGATATTTTAGGCTCTTCAGGTGATTTTCTTTAGAGCGTGGTTTACCAACTCTGTTGGTCTGAGCTGACTTGTGTGGAAAGAAATGCCAAGCAGAAAAAATACCATCTTGGTTCTCTGCAAATTTTTGTTTCTCTGGAATGTGCTTTCTTGTTCACTCTCTCTCATTGGTGGCATGTTCTCTAAAATAATCCCTTTTCTTAGAGCAACTGAGTAGCTGTTTTGCAAATATTTGTTCAATCTTACCTTAAGATAAAACCGGAATCTTGTTCCAAAAGCTTTACAAATTATAAAGGAACAAAAAGCTGTCAACCTTTCTGATACAGATTGGAAGAAGATAAACTCCTTCTTCCAATTGAAATTGCTTTCTTAACTCGGCACACAGTGCATTTAAGCAGCTGAACTTAGAGATTTCGTTTTCCTCTTTCCCTATTGTAGTGATTCTCAGAGATAATTTTGTCCCCAGGGACATTTGCAAAAGTATGGAGACATTTTTGGTCGTTACATCATGCATGTAGGGGATCGGCAGGCATCTAGTAGGTAGTCAGGGATGCTCCCACTGGCCTACAATGCACAGGACAACCCCCTCCCCCACAAGAAGGAATAATCCAGTCTGAAATTTTAGCAGCACCGCGGCTGGAAGCCCAGCTGTAGAGAAGAGGTTTTTAACCCCCCTCCCCTCCACTGTGTGTTACATCACCTGTGGTCTTTAAAGTCTTCAGATGGCCAGGAACTCCCCACACCAAAGAAGACAGTCTCGGGCTGCTGGAATGACTCAAGCAGTAAGAGTGCCTGCCTAGCAAGTGTGCGTCCCTGAGTTCAAACCCCAGTGCTGCACCTTCCCCACCCACCAAAAAAATGCTTGGTTGCATTACAAATTTAGGTGGGCGCCAGTGGCTCACACCTGTAATCCTAGCTATGCAGGAAGCAGAAATCAGGAGAATTACAGTTCAAAGCCAGCCCAGGCAAGTGGTCCATGAGACCCTATCTTGAGAAAACCCATCATGAAAAAGGGCTGGTGGAGTGGTCCACGGTGTAAACCTTGAGTTCAAACCCCAGTACTGAAAAAGAAAAACAAAACAGTCTCCGGGGAAGGCTTTTTGCTTGCATTGGTGGGGCCCAGTGCAAAATGAAAGAGCAGGCTCTGATTAAAAATTTATTGACAACGTGGTCCTGTGTGATACACAAGTCCCCCACTCACGGAGCTGCCTCTGTTCCTCGGGTGACCCAGGTGAGCTCAGTGTGAGGCAGGCTGGCAGCACTGCTTCCCACCATGTGTCCTCTCTGTCTTTCTAGAGCAACCAGGTCCAGCTCCTCTTTGTATCAGGACACAGCGCTCTGAATGCATCTAGCTGAGTAACACACTGTAAAGTTCTTCCTGTTACTGTCTGTTACAAAGCCAGATGTGTGCACACGACACTTGAGCCTTCCAATATGAAGCAAATAAACTGGGTATTTCCATTTCCATCTAGACGAGAGAGAGGGAGGGAGAGAAAGAGAGAGAGAGAGGAGAGAGAGAGAGAAACGGGGGGTGAGGGGGAGGTATGTAGAGGAAGAAGAGGCTCGGAAGATTTGAATTGCCTTACTGTAGAGACTTTAAACAACGTCAAGATAGTGACATCATTCTGGTCTGTAGTACAGAATCAGAGCTCGCTCACCTGTGAGAGTCGGTCACCCTCAGAGGGGTCCTTACCCCACTGCAAATAGCCAATGTCACTGCGGGTCAGGACTCCACGTAGTATGTCCTGAGACTTCCCCTTCTCACAGCCGTTGAAGACGTTTGGACTTGCTCTTCCAATCAAAATCAGGTTCAGGACTGCCTACAGGGTGTGTTTTACAAATATGTACAGTTTAGGTAGCAATGAAATAGAGACCTACTTATTTACTTTAAAAATATTTTTAAATGACCATTGTCACTTAAAAGGATGAAATCATTCAGATGTAATTCTGGATGCACACGCACACATATATTATATATTATACATATCATGTCTTAAACGTTGGTACAACTAAGAAGTGTATGGACCTTTTACATTGAGCCTTACCCTAGACCAGCCCACCATCTTATTTCTCTCTGCATTTCTTTTTTTTTTTTTTCCTTTTTCTTTTATTATTCATATGTGCATACAAGGCTTGGTTCATTTCTCCCCCCTGCCCCCACCCCCTCCCTTACCACCCAATCCCCCCCCCTCTCCCCCCCACCCCCTCAATACCCAGCAGAAACTATTTTGCCCTTATTTCTAATTTTGTTGTAGAGAGAGTATAAGCAATAATAGGAAGGAACAAGGGTTTTTGCTGGTTGAGATAAGGATAGCTATACAGGGCATTGACTCACATTGATTTCCTGTGCGTGGGTGTTACCTTCTAGGTTAATTCTTTTTGATCTCACCTTTTCTCTAGTACCTGTTCCCCTTTTTCTATTGGCCTCAGTTGCTTTGAGGTATCTGCTTTAGTTTCTCTGCGTTAAGGGCAACAAATGCTAGCTAGTTTTTTAGGTGTCTTACCTATCCTCACCCCTCCCTTGTGTGCTCTCGCTTTTATCATGTGCTCAAAGTCCAATCCCCTTGTTGTGTTTGCCCTTGATCTAATGTCCACATATGAGGGAGAACATACGATTTTTGGTCTTTTGGGCCAGGCTAACCTCACTCAGAGTGATGTTCTCCAATTCCATCCATTTACCAGCGAATGATAACATTTCGTTCTTCTTCATGGCTGCATAAAATTCCATTGTGTATAGATACCACATTTTCTTAATCCATTCGTCAGTGGTGGGGCATCTTGGCTGTTTCCATAACTTGGCTATTGTGAATAGTGCCGCAATAAACATGGGTGTGCAGGTGCCTCTGGAGTCACCTGTGTCACAGTCTTTTGGGTATATCCCCAAGAGTGGGATTGCTGGATCAAATGGTAGATCGATGTCCAGCTTTTTAAGTAGCCTCCAAATTTTTTTCCAGAGTGGTTGTACTAGTTTACATTCCCACCAACAGTGTAAGAGGGTTCCTTTTTCCCCGCATCCTCGCCAATACCTGTTATTGGTGGTGTTGCTGATGATGGCTATTCTAACAGGGTTGAGGTGGAATCTTAGTGTGGTTTTAATTTGCATTTCCTTTATTGCTAGAGATGGTGAGCATTTTTTCAAGTGTTTTTTGGCCATTTGAATTTCTGTTGTGATAAGCAGGAGCTAAGTGTGTTGTTTTTACAGTGCTTTTCCCTCAGATTCTAGGGATTGCTGGCGCATCTTATTGAGATAGTTCTTAAAGATAGTAGGCTAAGCTAGGGCATGCTGCCGTGAAAATGGGAAAGTAGGTTCTGCTAACGGCTCAAAGTAGCATCTCCATCTTTCAGAGAGAACCTGATCAGTCTTTGCTGAAGGACAAATGTGCTGACTTGAAAAACAAACCTAACTCAGGTTCTGCAATAGGAAAGCTGTCTTCCCACTCACCTGTCTGCACAGGAAGCCTCCAGCATTTGGTTGCAACAGATGTGTGGTGGTGACATCCAGGTCCTTCTGAAGCCTGTGGAATGGCAGAAGCCATCAGTATGGGTCAGAGACAACAAGTGTGCTGGGCAAGGCAGCAGGGATGTGGGCTCATCTGGCCACTGTCCCTTACACATGCCTTGCCTGTTTCCACGTCACACAGGGAAATCCTCTGGGACAGGGGAACCAGAGGTGATGGGCAGCTGTGTACAAGGATGGAGAAGTGGGCGATAGTGGTGATGGAGAAGGGAAAAAGCCCAGATACTTCAGACGCTCTGTGTGCTCTGAGTGGGTGCTAGATCACAGAGAAGCCATTGTCCTGTTGGACAGGGATGCTTGGCTCAGGCTGGTGACACATGACCACACCAGAGAGTGCTGGCTCAAGGCAGCGTTGAACAGACTCTAAATGGAAAACACCAGGATGGCTGTGAGCCCATTTCTTGGCTTCAGAAGGGCAGGGATCAGAGGTTGGGGTCCTACCCTTGACTATGGAAGGTCCCCGTAGAAAATGGGGCAGGTGCTGAGTACTGACATCAGAGCAGGATGTGTTCTTGAAGGGATCAGTTCACAGGATGGGAGGTCATGCCCTTGTGTGAATGAAACCGAAAGACTTGGATCAAGATTACTGTGTGTTGGTGTCAGATATAACTCAGGGCAGGGTATCCCAAAGCATGTCATGATTTTAGGAGCTATAGGTAAAAGCAATTTAAAAATTTTAAGAGTAGCCAGGTATGGTGACGCACACCTGTAATCCCAGCTACTTGGGAGGCTGAGGCAGAAGGACCATGAGTTTGAACAGTCCAGACAACTTAGTGAAATCCTGTCTCAAAAAGTTTTCAAAAAGTTTAAGGGCTGGGGATGTAGCTCAGTGGTAGGGTACTTGCTTAGCATGCCTGAGGTCCTGGGTTCTGTTTCCAGTGTAGAAAAAAAGAAATTTGATAGCGAGGTATTTATTTTAATCCATTTTATCTTCAGCACAGCAAGTGACTTAAATAATTTGCTTATTGATTCATACAAATTGGTAGAAAATTAATGCTTAGGAACAATGCGTGTTGATTTAAAAAATTGTTAAACAAATAATAACATGGACTATACAATATGATAAGTGGTTGTAAAACGCAAGCTTCAGAAACACTGCTTCAGGGCCTGTAAGTCTCTCACGGGAGCTCTAGTCTCCTCTGACTCTTCAGAGGCTGGCCTTTCTTTCAGGGCCCAGAAGAAAGCCCACTTCTTCCAATGACCCTCTCTGAATACCTCTCTGCCAGACCCTTCCTCCTCTGGAGTCCCCTTCATTTAGCAGGTGAGGTTTCACCTTACATGTCTTTCCAAGTATAGAGCTTGTCTTTCCCAGACTGGGACCTGCAGGAGGTCAGGTCATAGCCTCTCCTATTTGTACCTCCCACAGTGCCAAGAACAGGGCTTCACGTCTCAGAGAGACAAAATAAATATTTGAGGACGTGTTTTATTAGAGATTTAAATAAAATTTATTTGCTTGACTAATTTGACATCAAACCAACTACAGACAAGATACTCCTGTCAGCAGAGGAGTATCCACCAGAGAAAACATCATATGGTTCCAGCACAGTCATGAAAATATTCTCCAACCCAAGAGTTCATGGTTGATCTTAATGCCAAAGGAAATGCCTGCACAGACACATGTAGAACTCACCTCTCAAGTGTTCTGGAGAAGATCAGACTGTAAAGAAACAGGATGACACCATGACTTCCTTCCCCTTTGAACTGTTGGAAAAACAGAAGCAGAGCACTTTTGCCTAAGAGCAATGCAGACACATGTCTGTGGGTGTGAATTCAAGGACTTACAGCCTGGGAGGAGCCCTCCCCCTGACAGCTGTTGAAGAGTGGAGCTCTCCCCGTCTCCCTCAGTCTTCTTCTTCACTGGCCATTCCATCCTTCGTCCTGGTTTCTAGCTGGCCAAGGGCACCATCATGTCTCTTGGTCTTCAACTTTTCTTTCTTTCCTAAACTCTACCGCACAATTCATTTCAAGCCAGGGCTACGATGCAGTGTGCCTTTCCTGCTGAGACTGTCAGTGCTGCCCTGGGCCAGCTCCCCTGCCCTGCCTCCCTTCGCTGGGTTTGTCCTTTCTCCTTGCCCTATTAAACTCACAGGGAAGACAGGCCTTATAGAACAGCCTCAGAGTTACACAGGCCTGTGTTCAAAACAGTTCCACTCTTTACTTCTGCTTGCTAGCTTGAGCTCCTGTCTCCTTTAGTTTCATCAGCAATCACAGGTACAATAGCCATTTCCTGGGTGTGTTGCAAAGGCTAAATGAAATAACTAATGTAGAGTACCTCTGTTGGTTGTTGGAACTTTCTAGATCCACAAGATCGGTGTCTGTCTCTCTTTAAAGTCCTTGTCCCCTATCTCTTTTCTCGGTCAGAGCTCTGTTCTGTTTGGAACTTTCTGAAGGTGATCAGTGACCTCTGGGATCACATCCAAACTGCCAAACCAGCATCTCATTGGCCAGCTTGTCCTTAGTTTTACTCAGGATTCCACTTGCTGCAAAGCGACTCCTCCCTTTGAAAGCATCACATCAGGGAGAGTCTGCTAAATGCATTTACATGCTTTTCCCTTGGTGGACAACTAGTCTACTCTACGATCTATGACCTGCCAGGGGGCAGAAGCCTTGGCAGAAGCACAAATCTGTGGCCCAGGGCCACAGGAATTCAAAGGAGTGCTGTGCAGGATGTGAGAGAAATGGCTGACCATGGCTGGAGGAAAACTGCAAGTGCTTGTGTGTTAGTTTCCTGTTGCTGCTGTGACGATGTCACAGACTAAACCCTGGCTTAAAATAACACCGATTTATTATCTAACAGTTCTGGAAGTTACAAGTCCAGCCTGGGTCTCGGTTGCTAAAATTGAAGTGACATCCAGCCTTTTATCCTTTGGGAGGCTCTTAGGGGCAAGTCTGTTTCTTGGCTTTTCCAAGTTATAGAAGCCACCCTCGTCCCTTGGCTCGTGGCCCATCTCCTAGCCTTTTCTCTCTCACATCTTTCTCTACCTTTTCTGCCTTCCTCTTTCCCTTGGAAGGAAGCCTACTGTTAGGTCTGTCTGTATAACTCAGAATCATCACTTCATCTCAAGGTCTTTAATCATGTCTGCGAAGTCCCTTTAACCATGTAGGTAACCTATTCACGGGTGTCTGGGATTAGGAAGTGAGCACTACTCAGCCTGCCACAAGTAATCTAGTAGGAACAACTAATTAGGACAGGAAGAACATAGGCTCAGTGTGGCCAGGCTTTCTGAGAAAGGTCAAAAGCCCAGCCTTTTATGTGGAATTTCCCGATTGTTTCGCTATTCACTGATTCAAAAGCTGTGAAACGTAACCCTGTGTGGGCGAAGGCTGTCATAGGGCTACTGCTATAAATTACCAGAAATTTGAATGCTTAAAACAGCAGGAATTTCTCCTCCTGCAGTTCGAGTTTCAGTGTAGGACAGGCTCTCTCTGAGGCTCTCTCTGAGGCCCTCTCTCTTCATCTTCCTAGCTTCTGGTGGCTGATAAACAAGTCACTCGCATCTCTGCCCTAGTCATTACCTGGTGTTTTCCATGGGCGTCTGTATCCAAGTTTTCCAGCCACTGATTATGCTCATCCTACTCCAGGATGACCTCCTCCGAAATTGCACCTGCAAAGACCCTATTTTCAAATAAGGTCACGCTCTATGGGGCAGGGGCTTCAGCATATCTTTTTTGAGGGTACACAATTTGACTGATAAATACAGGCGTCCTGCCCACATGTAGCCAGACCTCAGACCTCTAGCTTGAGATCACTGCCCAAATAGAACGGGATAGGGGCATTTTGAGAGCGAGTGGGTTTGGTTAAGGGGTGGTGGTCACAACATGCAGCCCAGCTGGGGGAGGCACTTGAGAGGAATCTTTATCCATCCAGTCCCCTTCACTCAGGAAGCAGTGCCAGCCCCTCTGAGTGAGACTGAGGTCATGGTCAGCTGGACACAGGTGTCTCTCAAGCCAAGCCCACCAGCAGTGCGGAGTCCTCTTCTGCTCAGGGCCTTCATTACTTTTTCCAGCTCAACTCCGTCTTTGGGTAAGCAGTGTATGGCTTCAGCTCTGATCCTCTGGCCTCAACCAAGACCATGGAGTGAGTGTGTGAGAGCTCATCCAGGCTTTCTGCCTCTGTACCCTTAGGAAGATTGGAGCGGTGAGTCTGTGAATTGTACTTCTCCTTTCTGTGCACTCTATCCCGGGTGGCTTCCTGGTTGAACTGCTAAGCTTCTGATTCTTTAGGAAATCAGCTTTCATTTTTCTCTATACAGATGAACTTTTAAAAAGCATCTTCCATTTTCCACCATTGTTGTTCAACACTTCGTCCCCTCCTGCCTTGGGACAGGGAGGATCAGCACAGAGGTGGACACTGTGTGGAAGGTGCTGCTAGAAGGGGTGAGAGGGGACCTCCTTTTTAAAAGCCAGAAGTCATTTACTTGAAGTCAGAATGAATGGTCTTTTGGGCAGCTGAAATGAAGGCCATGCTTTTCTACCATTTTGTTTTTTATCCATTAGAGAAGGCAAGGCTGCTTTGAAATTTTCTCTTCCACAAAAGAAATCCTGCTACAGGCCCTCAAAGCCTCATTCTTTGAGGTTGATTAGCCAAGGAAGGGAGAACCTGTTAGTGGGTCTCTGTGATCTTGCCTCTTTCTAGGTTGTGGGGAGGGAGAGGCAGGCTTCTCTTTCTCTCACTCTGCTCTTTCTTACCCCCCAAAATGACCTGGTTTTCTTAACCAGCCTCATTAGAAATATACTTTATAAAGGAAAGAAGATCCTTGTAAGGTAAGTTCAACATGAAGGCATTATGTCAACATTTAAACACTTACACAGTGTAAATGATCATAGATGAATTTCTCAGTGGCCTCTTTTTCTTGAAATTCAAACAGCTGGAGCTGTAAATCAGGAATAGCAGATAAAAATGAAAAGGAAGATGAAAGGTACCTCTAAGAGATATCAACTCGCTGTGATTATCTCAAGGGAGTTTTTGTTTCACTGCAAAATCGCATTGCTGAAGACTGACATATCACCCTACACAAGACCACGTAAAGCAAACGGGGTAAAACTGGTGGCTACAACTCACTTCCCTTCCTCAGCTTTAAATGAGAATGATGTCTCAGGCAGTGAAACCATGGGCGGAGTCCCTCATGGGTCAAATTTAGCTATTTTAAAGAGGGTGGAGATAGAAATGAAGTTTCTGGTGATTTCAGATGTGGGATATTCTTTTCTTCTTCTTTCTTTGTCTCCCTTCCTCCCTCCCTCCCTCCCTTCCTTCCTTCTGTCCTTCCTGCTCTGGGAATCAGACTGGGGGCCTCGCACATGCCAGCCAAGTGTTCTACCACTGAACAATATCCCCAGCCAGAGGTGGGATGCTTTTTATTATGATGAATTCTGGGAGAAGAAGTTCACACCGGGTTTCTCCATTTTGGCTGTTTGGATCAAGGACAGCCTTGATACTTTGGAAGGTGCCCTGGGCATGTCACCACCCATGGGGCTGTACACCCACAGCCAAGCACACCCTCAGGCTTCATTCTCCTGTGTTCCAGAGTGTGCACTTACCCTCTCAGCAAGACCATCCAAGGAATAGTCAGGAGTGGGGGCAATGTAAGTGTCCTCAGTGACAAGACAGACGGTGGCCTTCTGAGCTTCTCCTGCGGCCCACAGGATGCCAGCCAATGCCCCGGCCAGGGCCTGCTCCTGGTGTCGCCGGCTCAGTTCACACAAACTGCAATGCAAGGCAGGAGAGGCCACCAATGCAATGAACGGTCACTGGCCGAGGGCCACCTCCAGTTCTATGTCCCCTTCTGAAGACAAAGGTGTCTATTTGGTTCCTTCCTTAGCCTGCAATGTGAGACATCTCTGGAGGGTCCAGACCCCTCTGCTGTGAGTGCAACTGGAGTCCTCTTGGCAGATCTGATTTCTGTGCACTGTCATCCCAGCGAGCGCCAGCTCTGCTCTGTCCTGAACTCCAGCAGGGCACAAGCAGAACTCTTTAGCCCACGAACACAGGCATTTTTCAAGCTCAACCCCAAATATCCTGGCACTTTTATCTCCCAGACGTTCATTTTGTAAACCCTCTTCCCAGATGGACCTCATTCCCACGCCTCTCCCTCACTCTGTCACCCCCACACCACTCCCTCACTGTCACCTCCATGCCTCTCCCATATTCCCCTGTGCCTCTAGTTTCCTTCTCACCTAATCTCATTCTATGTGTCACCCGAGGTCCACTCCAGGCCCCCACACTCACCCATCACTCACCGTGTCCCCACCTGGAACACTTCCCACAGGTGGCCTCATTTAGTCCACACAGTGCTCTGATGTGTATGCTACGATCACTATCAACTATGGTTTTTTTCTTTCTCTTTTTTTCTTTGCTGCACTGGAACAAAGAAAGAGCTTGACCACTGAGCTCACCCTAGACCTTATCACTGCCATCGTAGAAATGAGCAAATGAGTCACACAGAGGTTAAAGTCATTTGCCCTGGACGTTCATCTTTAAAATGAGACAGGAGTGATTTGAACACAGTTCACTGGTCCCGAGTCCCTGCCTGTAGCCATTACACTGACCTGAGTGCCCTGAGCCCATGAACCTTCTGGAAAATGGGGTCTTACAAGCAGACCCTCACCCTGCTTATCTTCTAAATATTTAACGTTGTCACTTGTGGTCTTCATAAATAAACACACAACAGAGGTTGTTAGTGAGCTCAGCAATGGTTTCTATAATCCCGGAGCTGTCAGGTGAGGCAGAAGCCCTCACCAAACTCCACCACAAGGTAGAGCAGGAAGAAGGCAACGGGGCTGGTAGAGCAGCCATTGGGTGGGGGGAAGAGGGGGACTGTGACGGGGGGGTGTTGACTGTAATGGGAGGAGGGGGCACTGTAAAGGGAAGGGCTCAGGATGGGGAGGGAGGATTGTGACAAGGAAGGCTCAGGATGGCTTCGTAGATCAGGTCTCCAAGAGCAGTGACACGCTCACCTTTATTTATTTATTCAGTATTCACCACAGCCAAGTGCTGTGCTGAGTGCTTTATGCCAGGTGCTGTGCTGAGTGCTTCATGTTATGTAGCAGATGTGTGCGAGCGTTCCATCCCTTTTGCTCAGGTGGTGGGTACAGCCTGGCTGCCTCAGGTCCTAGTGCTTGTGGCTCCCACTTTTCGACTCTGTCCCAAGGATTGGAACCACCTTGTGAGAAGTGACCAGGAGTGATGCCCCACTGATGGCTGCAGTGGGAGGCCCTGCCTTCCCATTTGGTAGTGAGGTGGCTGTCATCGCTGGGAGCCCCGTTCTTCCTCAGTGGCTTCCTCTCTCTCACAGGGTCTCTCCCTTCATCAACCCCTTGTATCCAGAACTCCTGCCGTGCCTCTGCCTGCAGGGAACCCAGCAATCCCGATCTTCGTTAGCTCCTGTTGTGGGTGGTGACTTGCCCTGCCTGAGGGCAGATAGACACCTTTTACTGGCTTCTGTTTCTTCTAATATCTCACGGAGGACTCTGCTCAGGCTAGGGGTTTGTTAAGTTCTATGAATAAAGTGAATTTGAATAACTTTGAGCTGATTTTTAAAAAATAGGCACTAACTAGACATCATCAGCCTAGCTAACAATGACTCCTTCATTTACCGGGGTTTTCATCACCCCCTTTGTTCTCCCTAGAATTGTTAAGTTAGGGCTTCCCATCAAATATGGGCAGTGAGGCCATCTGGGACCCGGTGTTTCATTTTACCTGGCAGCTGGTCTGCAGCAGAGCATAAAACCTGTCAACCCTATACCTGCAGGCGAACCCTGAGATGCCTCCAGCCTCCCCATGATGCAATCCAGCCTCCTCCTGTCTAGGAGGCAGCCTGGAGTTTTCAGTTGTGCTTAGTTAAGGTCTTGTGAAATGGGCCACTCTTAAGTGCTAATCACAGTCCTCTTACCTACGGAAGCTCCTGTCTTTTTCCTTCCTGGTGAACAGCAAATATTTGATGATGGATCCTTGTACGGCCATTTGGATGCTCCTGGCACCTCCCTGAAGTGGGGAGGAGGAATAGCGAGGCGTGAGGCTGGGGCTGGCAGACTTTGTAGCGGAACCACTGGGACCAATGTTACAGGAGAATCGTTGGAAATGGATGGAGTTGAGTGTTCTTTTCCCTCCTGGCATCCCTTGGGGCTTAACAAAGGGACACCACCTTCCTGTGCCACCCATCCCTGTGGGCTGTGGCAGGATGCCACAGTCAGGCTACAAACTAGAATTCAGAGAGTTGTGTGTTGCAGCGGGGTGGGGACAAGGAGTTGGGGACTTTCTTATGACCTGGACAAATGTAGTGATTTTAAACTCTTACCATCTGAGGTCAATTTTAAATGATGTATGCATTTTTTACATATGATTATAACAAAATATGCATTCATACAGATGTAGACAGGAAGAAAAAACCCAGGTAAAGAAGTCGGGATTAGGAATTTAAAAACATCACAAACTGGCTGTTACCGTTTCCACTTCCAAAGTGAAAGCCAGGGCAGAGAGAGGACCGTGGAACTTGAAGTGGGCCTTTTTCCAGTCGTAGCTGAAGTCGTGGGCAGTGTTTCCAAAGAGACTCTGTCGCAGCTTCTGAAAGAAGAGGGGCAAGTGACTAAACCTGAGACACTTCTTCCTCCTCCTACCCTCTTGCTGAAATCGGGAAGGTGCGCCTTGGTCCCGGCTCACACCTAGAGTTACTTATTACTCTAGTCTTCAGTCTGAATTGTATTAAGCCCTGGGCAACACATTCACACCAGATCCACGGAGGGAAGTTTATCCCGAAGTCTCTGTCTGTCTAATTTTTGCTCCTTGTGTCTCACCTTCTTCTGCTGGCCACGTCCACCTCGTACCCCACTGGGTGCTGCTGCTATGTCCCTATGCCTCTCGCCCCTACTCCATGGCTGTGATCTTGGCCTCTCCACGTGTGGGTTTTTCTCTCTTGATCCGAGAAAAAGGAAGCAGATGAACCCCATGTTTCTAGCCCAATTGCAGTAGTGATCGCAATGATATTAAACAACAGATCTTGTCCTACAGTCTTCAGGGTATTCTGCAGCACACTAAGATCTAAGAAGCTCTTTGAAAACTTCCCAGAAAATCGAGAACAAGTCTTTATGAACCAAACTCATGGGGGAAAGAGAGAATCTGTTCATAATAAAAAACTTAATCAGGCCAAGAGCCAGTGGCTCATGTTTGTAATCCCAGCTACTCAGGAGGTGGAGATCAGGAGGATCGTGGTTCGAAGCCAGCGCTGGGCAAATAGTTTGCAAGACCCTATCTTGGAAACACCCATCACTCAAAAGGGCCAGTGGAGTGGTTCAAGTAGGCCTTGAGTTCAAGCCCCAGTATTGCAAAACAAAACAAAACAAAACAAAACAAAAAACTTAATCACTTGGCACATGCTGAGAACTACCTGGGATAGAGATAAAGTCCAACCCCAAATCAATGGCAGGAAAGAACACGGGAAGTTCACAGGACAGTAAAAGCACCATGGAAGAGAGGGCAGAGAGAGAGAGGAGAGAGAAGAGCTGGCATTGACCTTGGTGGCGAGTGGCTTGATTTCCTGTGCACCGGGCCCGGGGCCAGTACCCTGCATTCCCTATACTAATTTACTTCAGTGAGGTTGGTACTGTGAGCTCCCTCTTTACCCAGAGAAGAGAACTGAAGGCAGAGAGCGTGAGGTATTTGCTTCAAGTGACATAGCTTGCAGAAAAAGCAGGGATTGCACCCATTCTTCTTCTTTTTTTTTTTTTCATTTTTCTTTTATTATTCATATGTGCATACAAGGCTTGGTTCATTTCTGCCCCCCTGCCCCCACCCCCTCCCTTACCACCCACTCCACCCCCTCCCGCTCCCCCCCTCAATACCCAGCAGAAACTATTTTGCCCTTATCTCTAATTTTCTTGTAGAGAGAGTATAAGCAATAATAGGAAGGAACAAGGGTTTTGCTGGTTGAGATAAGGATAGCTATACAGGGCATTGACTCACATTAATTTCCTGTGCGTGGGTGTTACCTTCTAGGTTAATTCTTTTTGATCTCACCTTTTCTCTAGTTCCTGGTCCCCTTTTCCTATTGGCCTCAGTTGCTTTAAGGTATCTGCTTTAGTTTCTGCATTAAGGGCAACAAATGCTAGCTAGTGCACCCATTCTTCTAACACTGCCCTGACTTTGCTCCTGTACCTGCCATCTTTGTGCTTCCTGTAATTTGTGTGTGCCAGTCACTACTTAATGTCCTCATTATATTAGACAACTCTCTTATTTAGAAAGCCTTTATTTAAAAGGGTTACTTTGTACCATGTCCTCAGACAGAAGTCAACATCACTTGCCATCCAGGATAATCAGATGGAATATACTAGAAGCCCTTGCCTGGGAGGGCTCTTCCATGCCCTGCTCTTTGTTACCATTAAAAAGGGAGGTGGGAAGTATCAAAAACGTGCTGGCCACATGCTGTCCTTTACAGTCTCCGTGGAGAGGGACAACTTCCTCATAGGATGATCTGCCATTTGTGTCTTTTTGACACAACCCTAACTCGCCCGTGTCCATCTTCAGTCCACAGCAGACACACGACAGCCTGTTTCCTGTAGCAGTGGAAAGCCTGACAGAAAGGAAGACCTGCAGACGCACGCATGTCAGTGCCCAGGGTAGACTGGGGTGAGCGGTGTGACTGGTGGTCAGGGATAGCAAACAGCATGGACGCTGAGAATAGAAAGTACCTGTGGCCTGATCCAAGAGGGCTTTGAATATCGTACCCAGGCATTTGGAGCCAACGAAGAGTGTGAACAAATGGAGGCCAGAGCCCAGTTGGTTCAGAGTGGTGACATTCCTTCTCAGTTGATCTCAGAGCAGGTCCTGGAGACCAGGCCCTGATGGGCTCTCCACAGGAGAAGCATGCATCTGGAATGTTCCTCTCCCTGGTGGCCCAGGCCCTGGTTTCATGGCTAGAGTTTATGTCCTTTACAGCTTGGTTCCCACCCTCAAAAGAAAAGGGCTGTCTCTACAAGAGAAATAGATGTAAGTATGTTTTGTGCGACCAAGGCCCAGGGATGCACTTGAAGAAAAAACATCTGTCTGGGTGGGTTTCAGAGCAGGAGCATGTCAAGGAGAGGCAGCCATCAGGTCCAGAGGCTGCTCTTAGAAGACATAAGACCGGCCACTTGCTGTGGCCAAAGAAAACAGTCCAGAAGAAGCCTTGAAAATTAGTGGGAAGTTTTTCCCTGACAGAGGTCGAAAAGCCCAGAAGAAAGACTTCCAACTCAGGGGCCGTCAAACCCTAGCTCTGTTCCTTACTGACCACAGGAACTTGGCCATTGTTGAACCAACCTTTCTCATTTGCTTATTCGGAAATGGGGATAGCCTTTCCTAACCCAGTCATGGCTCTTACTGAAGGAGTGTAGAGAGAGATCTGGGAAGCAGATGTGCCCACCCTCGGCAAACACTGCTGGGTCCAGATGCTGCACGGGAGGAAGTCCCAGCACACAGGGATAAAGACCAGACACTGCAGGAACAAGGGAGGAAAAGCCGTTTATAATCCTGAACGATTAAGACTGTTGAGAATAAGAAGGCTTAGGGTTCAAACCCAACTGGAAAGTGCCACTTGCTACCTTGGACTTGCCACTTCACCCTCCAGCTGTACCTGTGGGGCACTCAGTCAGAGAGGGTTGCTGGCCCCACTGGTCAGTGTGACTGAGATGATCTTCTTATCTGTATAACTTCCATATCAAATATGATTTATGCTGAGATTAACCTGATACATATTCAACAACATACATGTGCTGTGTTGGAATGACGACAGTGATTAGCACTGGTTGACACAATCAACCACAGTTCAGTTTTTATCTTTTCCCTTTGCCACTTTCTAGTATTTGTAACAATTTCCTCTGTCTCCTCCCTCTGTTCTACATCGTTGTTGTCACTGTGACACTGCTAATCGATGACAGTGATTATCATTCACACTCATTCAAAGATAGTCCCAAATCATTCTTCTCAACAGGTTTGGTTTGCTTTACCCAACCGTCTTGTCCTTGGTCCTTGGGCTTAGAGCTGCCCGTGACCACTGTTCCCCTCCAGTCTTCTTCCTCCTTGAGGTAGAATAGTTCTGATTGAATTTCCTAAATCTCTTCCTACCTTATAAATTACTGGTCCGTCACAGAACTTGAGATTTTAGATGTACTGAATCCTAAGAAGACATTTCTATTCTGGACAATCTAGTGTCAGTCTTTTGGCTCTGTTGTGTTCACCACTGATATCTCAGCGTCCGGGCAAGGTTCATAATAAGCATTTTATAATTTCATTTTATAGTTAAAAGCCTCGAAGCCCAGAGCAGTTAAGTGGTACACCCAAGGTCAATGGCAGTGCAGGACCCTTTCAACTTGAACCTGCCGGGACCCCCCAGGAAGGACATGACCTTCCCAGGTCAGTGTAACTGAGGAATAACTATTAGCATGGGCTATTTACAGAGAGGGCTGGGTATAAGGTCACCTAACTGGGGTAGTTCAGGGTCTCGTGTAGCAACATGGGGAGTCAACATGACCTTTAGACCTGAAGAGACAGGGACTCAGCCAGGAAGGAGAAAGCCCGAGGAAGAGGACCTCCAGGAGAGGAGCAGGACTCAGCTAGCCATAGCAACCTGGCTTCCTTCCTTGACCTCTGCTAGTCTCCTTTCAGGACTCCCCATTGCTCAAACTCAGCAGGAGGCAAGAGGAGGAGGTCACCCTGTTAATGGAGACCCTACAAGTCAGCCTCCTGGGCACAGATGGGGGAGTGCATAGAAGGTGCCACCCACCTGGACTTGAGATGCCTCCAGGGGAAAGTCCAGGGGCAGTGAATTAATTAATTCATGTGACTGAGGCCCATCCATGAGCTAGACCTCAGGAGGGGGGCACCAGGCTCTCTGTTACCCTCAATTACAGCTTATTTTGGTCTCTTAATGTAGTGTTTTTATTAGGACACTACTGGGTGCTGTAGCCCCAAAAGGTGTGTTTATTGGTTGCTAATGAAAGAAGCCATGAGAACGCATCCCAGCATGGTCTGAGAGAAGGTCCTGGAAGGGGAAGAGGATGGGGAGCTATAGCTGAAGGGTGGAAGGCCATTGGACAGGGGTGGTGGAGGAGCCCAGAGGTTAAAACTGGAATTTTGGACACAAGAGCCCAAACTCCTGGGATTCCAAATGCCAGGTTCTGCCATTCAGTCGTAAATGCCAAATAAAGAGATGAGGCGAAGGCAGAGGAAAGAGATTTACTACACGGCTTGGGACGTGCTATGGGCAGAGTAAGCACTTAATCCACGTTTAGCCATCTTCTTACGGACATGAGTTATAGGTTTAACTAGACAAAGAACTGGTGGCGGGGGACAAAAGGAATCATAGCTAAATAGTCCCAGACTCAGGTGGTGGTCTGGTTGCTCATTATCTCAGTCTTTATTTTGGGAGAGGTTCTGGGAAAGATTCCAGAGTTGTTAGCCGGTGGTCCATCCTGAGGAGGGTCTACTGTTGCGGGTAGTTTCTGTCCCTTGTCATGAAGATGTTAGGATCATTCCTGTCTTTCCTTGATTCAAGGTGTTTGCAAAGTGACTGAATGGCTCAGAGCAAAGACAGATACAACATGGAGGAGAGCTGCCATGCTTTTCTCCTGCTCTTAGTTAACTCATAGGCTTGAGTAAGGAGTCCATGCTTTTCAGCAAAAGCGGCTTAAGCACTTCTTACAAGGTGACACACCTTCCCTACACCCTCACCAAGCGCAGCAGCCTGGGCCGGAGCTCACCCCACCACACATGCTGGAAGATGTCAAGTTGGGGGCAAGAGAGAGGGCAGCAGAAGGCGAGAACCAGGAGATGTGAGGAAAGTGCATACCCAGCCCCACTCTGAGCGGATTGCCAGCACAGAGTAGCATGTGTCTGTGTCAGGAAACACAGTGAGGGGACGGAGAGCAGCACAGCCACAGGGAAAGGACTTCTCCGGGGGGCATTAGGGCTCAGCAGC